GATAAGCAGAAGCTTGGCATGGGTGTCCGTAACAGTGCTGCCAACGTGACACAAACAACAGAATTCTAAACCGATAAGCCCGCGAGGTTTAAATTAAAAATTCCGGTTATTTTTTGATCATGGTAGTATGCGTAAGCTTTTTGACTGTGCTCGCAAAATCAAAATCTGTGTATACTTTCGGCAAAATATAATTGACGTACCGCGTATGAATTGACGTGCTTAGTTTACGAAGGAATAATTTGATCTTAGCTGCGTCGTCCAAAATTTTGAGCATCGACGGCAAATAATCCTTGGTAACGAACATACCATGCATCGAAGATTAAACCATTCTCGGGATCGTAAACAAATTCTGAGATTGAATTGGCTAATGTCTCCATTGTAGTTTCCATGCCCGTTGCAGAAGAAGGAAGCGGAGCTTTGATAATCTTGGCGATGTGGCTTACAAAGTCCTGCTGCTGAGCGTAAAACTGCTGCTGCAGCTGCTGTTGAAACTGTTGTTGTTGCTGCTGCTGCTGCTGCATCAACGGCGCTAAAATTTCACGGAGACCTTCCATAATCCTCGTCGCCAAAAACTGTTATGTTTGTTGCACACAACTAAATAAACGTGATTTATATAAATGAATCGAGTCAATTTATTAAACGTAGAAAGATACAAGTTTAAAGATCAAGAACGAATGAATGAATAAATGAATGTCAACTGAATTAATAATTGAAAGTTTGTTGAATCATTGCTATTGACAATCGATAGCAGTATCGATACGATGTCGTATCGATTACATCAAATGGTTATTTATTCTCTCATAATGGGTAAGATCTGGATAACCAGAATAGATTGCATACTTTACTACGGCGTCCCGGTTGCCACGAGGTGGAAGTTTAGATCCATTGGTGTAAAAAACGTGTTCAGCGCCATCTTTGGCAAGAAGAAACCTGGACCAGGTGTGGGGAAGGGGCCAATCTAATCCTTAGACCTCCAGATCAACGGAGCACTTATAATAACGTATAAAGAACGGAAAGGACAACAGACCAGGCAACGCGCTGGACTCAACCTGCTGAGCCAAGGGGGTAACTTCTTTGAACACATCAAACAAGTCGAAGTTGTTATCCTCGCAAATAGGGCTCCAAAGATGAGCTCACCTAATAGCGTATTCAACTGATATCCCGAGCGTGAGGCAACTCGACAGACGTACTTGCGGGTCAAATACCTGTGTCTACACGAGAGAGGTTGTTCGTTGACTAAATCGAGTAGGACATTGGTGGGTGTCGTACGCATAAGACCACCCACCACTCGAATGCAAGCATACTGAAGTTAATTCAGTACTAAGCGATCTCTCTGTCGCAAAGGTGACACAACTGGCAACTTTAGTTCAAAACTGAGCGCACCAGTCCCCTATATGCCACTGAAAGAACGTTGGGATGAGCGCCCCCCCCATTTTATCCCCGCGATGGCTTTAACTACATTAATACGAGGGAGCACGCGTTTTCGAATCTCAGTTACGTGCCTTTTCCACTTCAAGGAGTAATCAGTATATACTCCCAGAAACCTGACGCACCAGTCTATTTATGCTGACGCCGTTGAGAGAAATTCTGATGTTATGTTTGTTGATCAGCCACGTAGTGTTTCTCAGGGTGTTGCAGAGAATAGAAGGACGCAACAGACTTTTCCGGGGATAGTTTAAGACCGAGATCTTTGAGATGGGAAGTGAGATTACTAAGAGAAACATTAAGTTTCTGTGCCATATATATATATATATATATATATATATATATATATACTTGATTGAAGGATGAGAACTATATGACAATATTGTCAGCATACATTAAGATTTTTATCGGGAGTGGTAAACACATTTCTACGAATGACAGGTAAATACTAAAGAGAAGTGAGCTGAACACGGAGCCCTGGGGCACGCCTCTGGTCGTCTGTCGATTCTGAAGAGGGATGTCAGAAATGTAACCATCTAAGTTGCGAACCGTTATTACCGATGAAACAAAACTAATTATGATCAAAATAGGAAAGGGCCAATACGAGGCAAAACACAGGATGTTGGTGTGAATCAGCAAAATTTATTCAAATGCCAAACGTTTCGATCACAAGTTTTGATCTTCATCAGTGGCAACTGTTTAGATCCAATTGACCATGAGCTTAATAAAAATTTGGTTTATTGAGTGTAATTCTTGTGATGTTTCTTATGTCGGCCAGACGAAAAGAAAACTAAAGGGTTAGTGAACATCGCAATCAAATTAAAAGGAACTTGGAAAATATTTCTGTTATCACTGAACACCGCCTTTCTACTGGTCATGATTTTAACTGGAAGGAAACTAGAATCTTGGACTTTGAGAGTTTTTACTTCAAAAGATCTATATCAGAAATGTTACACATAAAGCTCACGGACAATGTTATTAATGCAATGTCTGATACTGATAATTTAAAACCTTATTTTACATTCCTTGACTTATACAAAGCTAAATAATATGTTTTTGAATTTATCTTGCGTCCTTACAGTTATATGTTTACTGTTGTGGGTTTGTTTGCGTTGGTGGGGATATATTTTACCTTAGTATACTTGCTTGTAAAGGCAGCACATCAGTACGAATTAAACTCTTGTTCGTTACTCACGGTACAAAATGTGTCGATGTGCTGCCTAATTTTTAATTTTTAATTTTCATTTTGGTGAGTTTTTATTGTTTATTATAAGATCGTTTTTCTTAACCTTTTTTCTATCTTTTTTTTCTTATTTTTTATTTTTTATCTTTTTTAATTGTAAACAGTTGCCACTGATGAAGATCAAAACTTGTGATCGAAACGTTTGGCATTTGAATAAATTTTGCTGATTCACACCAACATCCTGTGTTTTGCCTCGTATTGGCCCTTTTCTATTTTGATCAATCTTTTCACGAGGTCTTAAAAACTTTTTGACAACTAATTATTTTCTCGGAGAACCCTAACCGAGACAGCATTGAAAGCAAAACTGAAGGAACCACATTGTCAAAGGCACCTTCAATATTAAGGAAAACCGCACCTGTAACTTGACGAGTATTATTTGCAGTCTTAATGTTAGAGACAAACATGGCAAGATTGTCAACACATGACAAACTCCGTCTAAAACCGAATTGGAATGGAGGAATTATATTATTATTCTTAATCCACCACTCCATTCGACGTTGAATAATCTTTTCTAGTAGTTTTAAAAGAGTGTTAGCGAGTGAGATGGGGCAATAGGAGCTTTTTTTCCCCGATTTGGGGATAAACACGACAAAATATATTTTCTATTGTTCAGGAAATGTTTGTTTGTCTAACATTATGTTAAATAATTTGTTAACAATTTGATGGAGTTCGCCAGGAAAATGTGATATGATATTGTTGGAGATCAAATTTGAACCCGAAGCAGATTTGATCTTTATCGATTTAACCGCAGAGAGATATTCCTCTTCTCTAATGGGAGATTCGAGAACAGAACTATCTACAGTACTCTCCAACATAGGAATAGTATTTATCAAAATGACAACTTGTAACGGCAGGTTGAAGAGGAGCGATTTTTTCGAATGATTTGTGGAAACCTTTAATATCAATAGGAATCAAATAAGGCCGATACGAGCCATTCGCAGGATGTTTGTGCGGAAACTATGCATGTACATATATATATATATATATATATATATATATATAAATGTAACGAATTTTACTTGTAAATTTTTACAAGTATTTTTTGAATTGAAATCT